AAGTAAGTAATAACTAATACGTGTCGTACGTACGTACGTAGTAGTAAGTAAGTAAGTAAGTAGTATAGTATAGAGTAGTACTACTACACACACACACACACACACACACACACACACACACACACACACACACACACACACACACACACACACACAGCGACATACAGCCCTACCATAATAATAATGCTTACTTGTCCAAAAGTAAAGAATTTTTAATTAGATTTTGATTTTTTTTTTTCCTATTTATGACCCCTCGTATATATTCATTTTACTCATTGCACTTTAACATGTGCTTTTGCTTTTGATAATAAATGCATCTGCATCTCTTTGGATGTTTTTTGCCACAAATCCTATCAAAACTCTAAAATCCTCTTTGGCTTTTTCTATGACCTGTTTGGCTGCAGACACTAATAGAAGGTGCCATGGTTGGATATACTCCCCGGGGAATGCAAATAGCTCAAGAAACATTGGTAGTAGAATTTTCTAATCTCCCCTTTCGGATGTCATCACAATGACTATGCATGTTTTAATTTTGTTCTATTGTATGCCTTTCAGGAGAAAATGACAGCAAGAGGATTTTTCTTGAATCTGAGAATGGGCAATGATCTCCTCCTAGCAGCTGCAGGAGAAAAGGCAAGTGTCGTTATTCTCTTATTTTGGAGTGCTAAGTTGGTTCTGAGTCAAAACATGTTGTGATACTTTTCTATTTCTCGTTTCTCATTTGACATTAGAAGTATTTTTTTTTTAATCTGTTAACTGTATGGTATTAAGAAAAGAGAATTATAAGTAGCGATCGTAGTCCAGAAAATAAGCCCCCCCAAAATAGTAGGGGGCCCTATACAAACCTCCAGGGGGTCCTAAAATCCCAAAAAGAAGTACACAATCAAGCACAAGGGGGAAGGGATATAAAGGTGTTCAATAGGGAAGCTACTAGACGAAGCCATCACCAATTGCTATCCAGTGAAATTTCACCAGGAGCATTGCATCTCTGTTGTCATCTCTATTGTTGAAAAAAATGCCGATAAATTGGAGACCGATAATTCCCACTGCAATACAAAATGTAAACTGAAGGAGAAGATGACTCTTTGGGTCAGGAAAACTCTAGAATTCCATTATGTAGCAGATTATAATTACTTTGAAGTCAATAGAGTTAGCAAGCAATTGACATCAGAAGTATTGTATCGATTATGGGGTGCTTATTTTCTTGATAATTTGACTGGATATTCTTTTGATAACCTTTTACTTTTATGGTTTGCTCGAAGTTCACTTGAAAAGGTTTCTCTCACAACAAAAGCCGTACAATTGATCATTTCGAGGTCGAGATGTATAGAAATGGAGAGAAAGGAAAAGAAACAGATTTTCAAGTCCTAAAATTGTACATCTTGTAACACATTATCTAGACAATCCAGTTTCAAAATTTTTTAAGTATTTATAGATTTGCTCGATTACACCAAATTTCATAAATAAGAGCGAGATTTTTAGGCTAACATAAGCATTCTGGCACCAGAGCTGCATCTTTTGGCAATATCTACCGGTGCGCCTTACTTTGATTTTTTAAGGTTGAGACCTTATACAAACCATACTCATATTACATACATATTGACTACTTTCCCTCTCTAATATGATTATGGGTACTAACACTGTGATAGACTTTGTTCATGATTTTGACTTTATGTCTTGTGTCCGTGAGCAGACTGGAGGTTATACAACTGCCAATTACATATGGGACCTGCTTCAGAGTCGCAAGATCACCCCATCTTTTCCTGCTGTTGATGCCTACTACAAGGGCTTAAAGGTATGATGGTGGTCATATTTTAACTACTACTGCTTCCGTTTTAATAAATATGCTGTTCACTAGAGTACCCTTAACAAACTCAGAATTTAAGCCCCCCATTTTTTCTCTGAAGGTATACCTTACTCTTATTTAATATGTCGTACAGGACCGAGAAATACCTGCCGATGACCCTAGGCTCTTACTGGTGGCTCGAACACATGACAACCAGCGCATGAGATTTGGAGCCAGGCCTTTGTAGAAACACCTCACTGAAACCCCTTACTTCTAAACCTTTTAGCCATTTACTTCAACACTGATTTAGAGGGTACATTTTTCTCCCTTTTATTCAGATTTTCTTCCTACGGGTTTCAAATGGGAGCTAGTTTTCCCCTCTTTTATTTGGTATTTTGCTATGTTTATTAACTAAGTAAAATTCTGTACAGTTACTGCCAAGAAAATAAGGCATTGTATGACCTTAGAAACTCTGAGATTTTGGTTTGGTCTCGTCACATCGGGCAATTTCTAGTAGCTTTTGTTGGTCTTCAATGCCTGTGATATTTTCTTTGTTAGTCTGTCGAGATGGATTTGGTTTTGATGGTTAGGATTGTGATTAATGGTTTTAGATTTTGATAAGATTGTGATCGATCCATTAGAGCATGTGAATTCAAAGAATATGCCTCAATCAAACTTGACTGCAAAACCTTCTCTGATGTACATAGGTATTTTATAACAAATTCCAAGAGCATATCAAGTTCCAACAAGAACAAGGGTCTTATTCAGAAAAGTGAAGCTTTCTTTAGGGCAAGCATTACCTGTTAAATGTAGCAGATATATATCACCAACCATTCAACTCGGTCCAAATACCAAACATATTGGCTTAAAAGAGCTGCCGTCTGATATCTCTAATTTCATACACCGTGTCAGCCGACTTCCATATGGACCTAAATGCTTCCCCCAACACCATTTAATAACATTCTATGAATCCTATTCCACGCTAACTCTATGATGACATCTAAGAATTTCAGACCTTGGTAGTATATCCATTACTTCCGGCCCATTAGCTGTTGCAGTCTCTATAGGCCCGGAGAAGGTCATAATAATTCTTCCAATTTTTTTTTTTTTGAAGTGTTCCATTATGGTCTCTTGTTATACCCCCGATACCTAGGTCTCCTGGATTGCCAATTGAGCTACCATGAAAATTTAATTAAAATGCACGGTTTACATAAAGTTGCAACCTTAAATAATCAAATTGAGGTGCACCCCCAATCTTTGTCATGAGATGCAATTTTCGGGTTGAAAATTCCTAGGATGATGTGAGAATCATTTTTTATCGCTAATAATAAAATTTTAAATTTAAAAAAATGGTTCAAATCAAGTTTTATAAACACATGAAATATTGAAAATGGACAGTCCAGATAATGTGTTGCAAGATTTATTATTTTTAGTACTTGAATATTTTTTTTTTCTCTATATCTATACATCTTAATGCCAAAATGACCGATTAGGTGTTTTTCCAGCATAAAAAAGAGCCTTTTTGAAAGGATTTTAGAGGTCCACCTTAATTGTGCATTTTAAGGTGTCAACCTTACATAAACTTTTTCCTTTATTGAATTTGCTCATAATCGAGGTCGAGTACAGATTACTTCCTTCCTATGTACACACCCATTCATTTTGAATATCTTGAATATTATTAATCAAGTCTATTCTTGCCAAAACCCCATGCTTATTTGTCGAGGCACAATCTACCATAGTCTTCTTTACACTCTCTATAACTCCTTGTAAGTTACAGAGCTCGTTCTTCTATTTCTTTCTCTCCAAACTTCTCATAATACAGCAGCTTTATAAATTTTTGACAGGGTGGCTCCTATCTTCAAGAGCAACAGGAAGGATACAAATCAAATCTCATGGGATGATTAGGAAGTGGGCATTGCAATTGTACATCATTTATAACCCAATCCCAGATTTTTTTTATTGGAAGTGAATGCAAATACAAGTGATTACTAGTCTCCTCATCTTTTTTACTATGTAAACAAATATTGATAACAAATTTTTTCCTCTTTTTCTCAAATTATCAATGGTTAATAGCTTGTTGAAGTAAGTACCCAAATGAAAGCTTGTGAGATACCGATAATTTCCAAATCTTTGCCAAGATTGGTTAGGCCGATCATAACCTGTCATGGTGTAAAATATAATATAAAAATCTGATCAAGAGTATACCTTTTGAAATGGTTCTCATATTGTTTCATCCTGATCATGAGGCCTATAATACAATCTCTATAACAAGCCCAATAACTCTTGAAATTGATTTATGACAGAGTCCAGCATCTTGTTATTTCTGCAAGTGATTAACCAAAACATGTTATAACCTTCTCCTTCTACCAAATCATTAACTTTAGCAAGTTTGATTACAACCTTTCTTTGGAAAGAAAGAAAATCTAAAGGTCTATTGCCTATCAATTTGTGTTGCCAAAAATGGGTATGAATTCCAATTCCTCGTCAACTTCCATACGACTTCAATAGATGTCTTGACAACTTCGTATACCTCTCCATACTTCTACGTATGTGTGAGCAACTGCATATTTTTTTTATTTTAATATTAAAAAATAATTTTATTTTTGGTACAAAAAAATCACAATCATTCTTATCCTTCAGATTTCAAATGAGTGGTTATGAGTGTCTTTAACTAAATTCAAATCCTAATTTTTTTTTTTTTAATTTCATGATATACCCAAGCCAACTACTTTACATTTAATGGCTAGGAGTATAGTTTGGAAGAATATTATCTTATGCATGACAGATGTTTTAATGCTACCTCCAACACACTCTCCACATACCATGAAGTTTAATAATCACTACGTTATAATTATTTGCTTTTTATTTTTTTATATTTTTGGATTGAAAATCTTCATTTTTTATTAAATGCTGAGATGTTGCTAACATCAATATCTAGAAGGATTTCCAAGTATGGAGCAATTTAATATTAGCAACATCAAAAAGCTCATTGCTTCTTTTTCTTTTTAAAAAATAACAAATTAATGCGGTTGCAATATTTAGGTGGTTCCTAAAATTTTAGATTGAAAAAAATTCCAGTTTTCTTACCGAGGGAGTAGATTCCAGTTTTCTTACCGAGCATATATATGCGTTCTTCCGCATGTTTTCGATCCCATACATAAATTCTCCTTGAATTTAACATTGCCTAGGTGTAAGGGGTATATACCCAAAAATATTCAAATTAAGTAGGCAATTAATTTCAAATTTTCCTAATGACAGCCACAAATGAAAATGAATATTACTTCTTGTTTTTTTTTCAAGACGTGGGTTGAATAAAGTTGCAACCTTAAACAATCAAAGCAAGACACACCTCCAAACTTTGTCATAAGATGCAATTTTAATTTTGAAAATTCTTAGTATGGCACAAGAATCTATTTTCATCTCTACTTTATAAAATTTTAAACTCCAAGAACAGTTTAAATCAAACAGATCTATAAACACGTGAAAATCTTGAAAATAGACTATCCAGATAATGTGTTGCAAGACTTAATATTTTTGAGACGTGTATCTTTATTTTCTCCATATCCAGACCTCGATGTCGAAATAATCTAAATTTTTTTTAGAGATTTGTGAGGTTCACCTTATTTCTAGGCGCAAACCTTAAAAATTTTATTTCTTTCTCTTAATATAGATGGCTTTCTATTGAATTTTCACATATAGCATTGAACAAATTGCAATTTGAGGTTGTTTAGCTGGAGTGAACAATAGAATACAGTCTCCTAAATTTGTAATGCTAAATACAAATTTGAAATGCTAAATCCAAAGGAGCAACCATGAAGGCCCTTGCAACCGCATCCCAATAATCCCGACCCTACTAGGAACCCTGGCTGGACCCGAGCCGACCGGTGGAGCCCAGTTACCCAGTCCATCGCCAACCCTCATTTCCCCCTCTCTCTCTCTCAGACTGCTTCCTCTCCAACCCAACCACCTCTCTCAAACCCAAAGAAACTCTCAGCTTTCTCCTCTAAACCCCACACTCTTTTATCACTTACCAGACCTCTGAAAACCACAAGAAAGCACAATCCCCAAATTCCATTAACTTGAACTTAAAATTGTTGATGTAAAGAGGAGGCAAGGCAAATCCAAGGCCAGTGATTCTCCACCCTACTCTCTCTCTGGTAGGGCACCAATTCAGAAATGACAGTCTTGAAAGTCTAGAAGAAACATTGCAGAGGCTTGAATAAACCATTCGCACAAGACTCCATTTCCCTCAAATTCACCAAAGCGAATATTTTCTTCAATACCCATCCTATCCTTTCACAATGGGTCCAATCAACTTTCTTAGTATAGCTCTTAAAATGATGTCTACTCTCTCTCTCTCTCTAGTCTGACCCCACAAGGCCAAGTTTTCCTTTCATCAACTTCATCATGTACGAATCAAATAGAAATCTGGATATCCTTTGCCGTCCATGATGAAAGTACAATCGTCATCATCATTCGAATTTTATTCTAACTCTTTGAGGACGGCTATATAAATCCTGTTATGTTATTGTGCTCTATCAAAAGCCATATTCTCACCATAAAAGTACCAGTAACGAATATACTAGAAAGTAGGGGGAACTTTGTCTGGAATGCTCACTTCACAACGACCACCTTGTTCACTTCTTCAATGGCTCTTTTTAAGCTCAGCCATTTATACTATAAGGTATTGCACAAATTCTCTTGAGAATTGAGAGACAAACACACAAAAGCCCAAATTACATTGAATCCATAAACACAAGGCAAGAGACAGAATCTGTCCTCATGGTTGGAGACCAAACTGGGTTTGATGTGGAGGGATTTAACAGAGAATCTACTAATTTGAAGAAGGAAGAAATTCTTCACTGAAAAGAGAGGTTACAGCAACAGGTGCCATGCATTTCTGCAAATTGTTGGGTTCTTCACTTGCGAATGGTAATGAATTAGGGTTTCATTAAGCCATGAGAGGCAGGATTAGAGGGGTGGAAACCATCAAAACGAAACACATTTGAGAGAGAGAGAGAGAGATTTGTAAAGAGAGAGGACCAGTGTTTTTGACAAATTAAAAGCTCAGTGAAACCACCTTTCTCTAACTCTGTCTCTCTCTTTGAAACCCATTTTTTCTCTCTTGACCCGCTCTTGTTGCACAGCTCATAGACCAGCTTGGCCTCTTTCTTCGAAAGCCATTTTCACGATCATACTTTCAGTTTTTATGTGCTGCTCCAAAATCATATCTGTATCAAGGAGGAAAAGAATTAATAGTGAATAAAAGCACCCCTCACCCAAAACTCATAAACCATGGCATTCCCTCGGCTAAATCCAACTACAACCAGGTGTCTTCATCATCCTTCTTTCTTTCATAGCGAGGCGCACTCTCTCAGCATCACACCATCGACCACTCGAAGCATAGATGCTCGAAAGCAATATGTAATTCCCAGTGTTGTCCGGCTCCAACTCAAATAACTCCTGGGCAACCACCTCGGCAATCTGGCTGTTACTATAAGTCTTACACGACGCAAGTAGCGCCCCCAGCGCACCAGCATGAGGCCCATTTGGCATCACCTTAGCCATGCTGTGCGCCTCTTCCAGCCGACCTGCCCTCCCCAATATATCCACCACACAAGCGTAATGGTCGGCACAAGGAGCAATTTTGTATATTTCAATCATTCGATCCCATAGTTGGAGCCCCTCATCTATCAGACCTGCATGACTACAAGCATTTAAAACCCCTACAAATGTTACATCATCGGGCTCAACGCCTTCTCTCTCCATCCTTTGGAATACTGTAAGAGCCTCTTTACCATAGCCATGTGATGCAAGGCCTGCAATCAAGGCGCTATAGGAGTATACATCTCTTTGATCCATTCGATCGAAGAGCTCACAAGCCTTGTCGACATTTCCGCACTTTGCATGCATATCAAGGAGAGCAGTGAGAACATGGGAATTCAAGGGAATCGCATTATCCTCAACATATGAGCTAACCCAAATTGCGAGCTCAGAGCCGCCCAACTGAGCGCACGATGAAATCACCCCGGTCATAGTGACCTCATCAGGCCTAATTCTTGAGGCCACCATTCTACGAAAGATTGCCAAAGCTTTGCTCGGCTCTCCATTTTGAGCATACCCGGTTATCATTGCGGTCCAAGAAACCAAGTTTCTCTCAGGCATCTCTTCAAAAATCGAGCGAGCAAGAGCCAATTGTCCAGCCTTTGTGCACCCCACTAGCATTGTAGTCCAAGAAACCACATTTCTCTCAGGCATTTCAGCAAATACTTTTCGTGCTTTCTCAAGGTCTTCACGCCTCACAAAACCCATGAGTATCGAGTTCCAAGAGATTACGTTCCTTTCGGCCATTTTGTCGAAAAGAAGGCAGGCTTCAGAAATTTCGTATTCCGGGTTTCTAGCATAGGCAGAAAGGAGTGCATTAAAAGAGACAATGTCTCTTTGAGGCATTTCGTCAAAGGCTAGGCGCGCAAACAAAAGATTACCGCATTTGGCATACATGTCTATGAGAGCGTTCTTGACAGGAAGGTAGAGAGAGAAACCGGTTTTGACAATTCGACCGTGGATTTCTGAACCACGGGGTAGGGAGAGAAGGGCAGCACATGAGTTTAGAAGGAAAGGGAAGGTGAAATTGTTGGGTTTGAGGGGGGTGGTGGCGGTCATTGCGGCGTAGAAAGAGAGAGCTTGGGTGTGGAGGGAATTCTTGACATGGGTTTTGATGAGCTCGTTCCATAGAGAGAGATTTGGGTGAGGGACGCAGTGGAAGACGAGGTGGGCGTATTGGATGGTAGAGAGAGAAGAGGAGAGAGAGAGGAGCTTGGCTGCAAGGGAGTTGTTGCTGTGGAGTTGGGTTCTGAAGATGGCAGCGTGGATTTGGTTGAGATGAGAGAGGGAGGTGCATCTCTTGAGCAGGGAGGAGAAGGCGTTAAGTGCGTGTGGAGTAACCATGACTGCTCAAGATTTGTTCTTGCATTTGAACAGCACTGCTTCATCCTCGACTCAATCCTCTCTCTCATTTGAACAGGAACGCTTCGTGCTACTCAACTCTCTCTCTCTCTCTCAAATTTTACGAGTATCCCCCTCCTTGCTCTTTTGCATTATTACGCAAAGTTAAAACATGTGCTGCTGCGAAAATAAGAAAAAGGCCTTAATTTATGAGATACGTTACCATACCAATTCCGAGAGAGAGAGAGATAGAATTCGCACTTTTAATAGAGAATATTCACGATTTGAGACAATTCCGAGAGAGATAGAATTCCCACTTTTAATAGAGAAAGAGCCTAATTTTAGAGGAAAAAAAAGCCACAATTTGAGAGAGAAATGCTTAGCACATCAACAAAATTAATCTACAACCAAATCAATCCTTATCTAAACGTATTATATTTTGTATTTTCATATCCTAATTAAAGATATATATACGAGAGAGAAAATCTTCTCTGCTTTCTATTTAGCCAGAGAGATGGTATGATATATTAAAAATTTGAATATTATATTTATGTACCCTTGATTATAATATCTACATATCTATACTAAATGCAAGAGAGGGAGATAACATATTTTTTTTGGGTTTTGTTAGGCTACACCACTTGTGGTGGTGTAGACTTTTAAAATACTCAACATTTTTAAACATTTAAATATCTTTATCTTATATGATAGTAACTTTTTATACAGTGATATTTTAAGTAATTAGTCAAGAGTAAACAAAAAATTCCAAATAAAAACAAAAACATTTATTAATAATAATGGACAATAACATTACCGATATGATATGTGACATCATCCATAAGATGCATTAATTGTTTTTAACTATTAATTAAATACCAGTAATTTCTTATAAAAATTTCTATTCTACCTTTCTAAAAGACAAAAAATGCTCCTACATAAAAAATTTTTCATTACAATTCAAAAATATTTCAATATTAAAAAATGTTGCGCACTTTAAAAGTCTACAAGAAAGACAATTTTTTAAGATATTTTAGTGTTCAAAACTGTCGAACACTTTAAAAATCTACAAAGACAATTTTTGAAAAGATATGGATTCATATAGAGCAGTGTTTAAAAAAACGCCGAGTCGAACCGGACTCGCCCGGTTTGACTCGAGAATCGCCATGGACGGATCGAATCGGAGAAAAAAAAGGGAGTCGTCCGGTTCTAGAGAGAACCCGGACGATTCTGCACAGTGACTCACCGATTCACTGTACGGAATCAGCGAGTCCCCGTACAGTGAATCGGCGAGTCCGTACGGATTTTTTTTATTTTTTTATTTTTATTTTTATTTTTTTTGTAATACTTGATTGATTTTTTTGTAATCCATGATCAAATTGTTTTTTTTTTTTGTAACCCATGATCGAATTTTTTGTAATCCATGATCGAATTTTTTGTAATCCATGATCG